CCCCTCCCATATGATTGTAAAGCGCTTTGGGTGTACAGCAATACACAATAAAGTGCTATAACAATGCGTCATTCATTCATTCATGTTCTTAACACTGCTTATGATGACATAATTACAGGCATATGCTGATTAAACAGTGGTGTATTCAAGCAAGTGTAGTTGTGTTGGTCTATTTTGATAACAGTCGTTGTTTTAACGTGTTTAATGGCTTAATTGTTTTATTAGTGTAGTGTTGCGCGTGTTCAACACTAGGAGAGGATGTTTTCCCTTAAAATTTGAATTGAATTGTTTTGTACTTCACTGAAGATATTATATTTAATTATTGAATTGATTTGTAATTAATTTATTGAAAATGTTTATTATAACAGCTAATTTTGAAAACGCATCCACTATATGATCACAAAAGTAAAATATTTAATTTGATTGAGAGGATTTAAAAAAAGAAAACTGTTTTAAATAAATACAGTAGAGCTAACGAGACTGATTTATTATCATCCAGGCAATGACATCCTTATTTCCACGTGTTATATCTCCATTGTGCAGTATGCAGCTCCACTCAGTAAAGAGTCAAGTCAGTCATGTACAACCTTGAGCATATTACAGTGTCTGTCATCGTACTTGCAAGTTCACACACCTCTGTAACGTTATTTTTATCATGGACACCAGATATTTTTATCACACATCAGATATATAACTAGGGCTGCACGATTTGGGGAAACAATCTAATTGTGATTTTTCTGGTTAAAATTGCAATTTGCGATTTAAATGCAATTTTTAAAACAAATGAATATATAAATATATATATATATATATTATTATTAAATATATAATAATTAGATAAAAATTAATGATAAAATAATAACAATACTCATTTTCTTTTACAGAAAACTATTGTTAACAGAAAACAGCAAGGTTACTTGTTATCATACAGGCCTATAACTGTACATCATATGATACTATTAGGATACAAATGTTTGACAGTAATTTCTTCATTTTTATCAGGAGGTATGTAAAATCAAAAATGGAGTCCATGTCATTAATATGAAATATGAGCCTTTTATACATCAACTGTGGAAAAAAAAAAAACTCCTGTACACTTATATACACTGGAGAAAAACATGGATTATCATATGTTTACTTCACATTTCTTTAGAGAGAAGTAGTATTTTTCCTCTTTATGGCCAAAATAGGACTGGGTGTGCATTATTGAGTGCTAAACTCATGTAATGTCTGTTTCATTCATACTGGACGCCAGAGGGCGCCCTCACGCAGAAACTTCACATATGCATCACAGAAGTAATAGAATATATGACGCTCCAGGAAATCCCTAAAATGGACAAAGGTATCAAGCTATCGCTGTAACCGAATTAAAGGGGTCATATGATGTGATTTCAATTTTTCCTTTCTCTTTGGAGTGTTACAAGATCTTGGTGCATAAAAAAGATCTGTAAAGTTGCAAAGACTAAAGTCTCAGATCCAAAGAGATATTATTTATAAAAGTTAAGAGTCAGCCACTCCTACCTAAAACGGCTCGTTCTAACACGCCCCCACATACCTACGTCACTATGTGGGAAGATTTGCATAACGCCGCCCAAATGTTCACGCAAAGAAAGAAGGCATAACTTTTATTCTCGCTGTAGTATTGTTGCTGTCACCATGTCGTGAAGGCGCTGTGTGTTTCGTTGTGAAAGCGAAACTACTTTGTTTGGCCTTCCAAAAGAGGACAATATC